AAGACACAACATCCACTTAGCTAACAAAGCGGAAGCCAACCAGTCACCCTGGATAATGACTCTATAATAATCCTCATGAGCCTAATATTCATTCATTGTTTTCGTGTTAGAGACATGTTACAATCTCCCAGTGGAGGCACTTATTTTAAATAGAATGGAGCAGCGAAGCTGAGAGGACGGGGTAATGTTGAGGACTGAAAATTTATAACTTGAAGCAAGTCTCAGCAGCTTTGCAAGCCTGGGTCCTGAAACAGCCTGATGGTTTCACATCTGGAACTCTCTTCTATTTTATTAGATTGAATGGTCCATGGAGAAAATCCTTGTGGTTTTGTATTTCCTAGCTGAGCTATACAATGCTTGAGAATTGAGTGCAGCATAAATAAACAGAGGTGGGGCCACCTTGAGTACCTCCAGAAACATTTTCTAACCCAAATGGTGGAATACCGGCTAGAGAAGCCAAAATGTTTAGGGAAAAGCTGAATAGCACATTTGATTTTAATTGAAAAATCCAGTACAGAGCACAGATTCTCTCTGGCACACACAAAGAGGCACTGGAATACTTTTTCATATCAAGCTTTACCAGTATCTTCTATGTCTGGGCATGTGCTAGGACCAAGACAAGAGGTGATCGCTGTGCAGAACAACAGGAGCAGTAGAAAGAGAACAGGCCTTGGAAGCCAGAAAATTCACATCCACCTTGCACCTACAAGCTGGGTCTGACTTCACAGATTAAATGCAAGCTTTCTGGGACTCTATTGCTTTCTCTGCTGAGAAGGGAGAATATGACAAGTCTATCTCCTAGTGAATAGAAAATAAATCTCCTGGATACAAGATACGTTACTTTAATATTTTATGTTTATGATTTATTATAATCTGCTCTGAACAGCTTGCAAGCTGTCAAGCTCTAGGACATGTCCCATTATCCTGGAATTTGAATTTAGCCAAGGTTTGCTATTTTCTGCTCCTCTCTATAGCCACAGTTTGGTAAAGGACAGCCATGAGA